AGAGGAACCAGCCCTCTGAACGCCCTGTCCAGGAGCTCGAACAGAGGAACCAGCCCTCTGAGCGCCCTGTCCAGGAGCTCGAACAGAGGAACCAGCCCTCTGAGCGCCCCGTCCAGGAGCTCGAACAGAGGAACCAGCCCTCTGAGCGCCCTGTCCAGGAGCTCGAACAGAGGAACCAGCCCTCTGAGTGCCCCGTCCAGGAGCTTGAACAGAGGAATCAGCCCTCTGAGCGCCCCGTCCAGGAGCTTGAACAGAGGAATCAGCCCTCTGAGCGCCCCGTCCAGGAGCTCGAACAGAGGAATCAGCCCTCTGAGCGCCCCGTCCAGGAGCTCGAACAGAGGAATCAGTCTTTGACAGTCAGAAAATACATGAAAAACAGTATCAGGGTTATTACAGAAAACGCAGTGGTTGAACAGCCCGGTTAAATTTTGACACAAACCCATTTGTGGGTACAGCACAGTGAAGGATCCTCCACTGGAGGTCTCCTGAACGTTTGGGCAAGGGGCTTTTGTACAGGAGCCTCCATGAAGGCCACAGACCCTCAGGGACAGAGAGATGGGCTCTCCATTTGGAGTCACATCTCTCCTTCAGCTCATGAAAGTGCAAGTATTTAACACAGCTCTGGTACAAAGCCTTCTTATCAGCTGTTGAGAAAGGCAACTTCTGTAACCCCCTCAGAGAGAGAAGCTGCCCCTCAGTAATCCCGGGTTCGGAAACAGAGGGGCTGACAAATAACTCTGGAAATGACATTTTGGCCAATCCACCAGCCAGAGCACCAGCCACAAAAGCCTTCAGAGGTGGAGGCAAGGATGCTTTAAGAGTATTGATTAGACCCCCAATCACTCTGGCTGATTTAAAACTGTGCTGTTAGAACCACAGCTGATCACCACTCCCCCTCCCCCAAATCAATCAGAGAGAGAGAGCAGAAGAAAGAGAGAGAGAGAGAAAGAGATATAGGGAGAGAGAGAGAGAAAGAGAGAGAGAGAGAGAGAGAGAGAGAGAGACATAGGGAGAGAGAGAGAGAGAAAGAGAGAGAGAGAGAGAAAGAGACATAGGGAGAGAGAGAGAGAAAGAGACATTGGGAGAGAGAGAGAAAGAGAGAGAGAGAGAGAGAGACATAGGGAGAGAGAGAGAGAAAGAGAGAGAGAGAGAGAGAGAGACATAGGGAGAGAGAGAGAGAAAGAGACATAGGGAGAGAGAGAGAGAAGGAGAGAGAGAGAAAGAGAGAGAGAGAGAGAGAGAGAGAAAGAGAGAGAGAGAGAGAGACATAGGGAGAGAGAGAGAGAAAGAGACATAGGGAGAGAGAGAGAGAGACATAGGGAGAGAGAGAAGGAGAAAAGGAAAGAGAGAGTTCACAAAATAGTAAACTTTCTGGAATATTTCTAAATTGTTGTGAATCTGCAACGTTTAATCGATTGAAGTCTAAATTATTGTTGTTTTAATGTGTGTTGATTTGTTACAGGGTTATTCTGATGTCATTATAATAAATTACACCTGCTGGCTGAGTCCTGAACGTTCTGAACGTTGTCCTTTCAATAACACATTAAAATCACCTAATCTGGACCGTCTGTGATGCAGAAACTGATTCAGAATAACAGCAGAACGTTTCACTGAGTCGCACGACTGCAGAGATCAAACTACAGTAGAACTACAAACCCCAGCAGCCCTGTGACTACCTCACGCTCTGAGTGTCCAGCCTCTCCAGGATGGCCTGGACTGGACCGTCCACTTGTAGAAAAGAGAAGACAGGTGGACCCGACGCTGACCAGCTTCTTCAAACACAGTGCTCTGATGCTCAGTGCTGCCCTCATGTGGCCGAAGTATTTCTCCAGTCTTACTGAACAGGCTGAGCACCTCATGGTGGACATAGAAGACACAGACTGAGCGGTCGTCATGCCGGACCACCAGAACTACCGCAATAAATCTCATTACATTAATATTAATCAATGTTAATAATGTTTTACTCATTATAGAAGCTCCACTTCAGAAATATCTTAGATTTAGATCATAATTAGAGTAAAAGAGAGAGGCAGAGTGACTCTAATAGAGAAAGAGAGGAAGAGAAGAGAAAAGAAGAGAGGAGAGAAAAAGAGAGGTTGCCTTCAGAACATGGTAAGTCAGCGAGAGAGAGAGAGAGAGAGAGAGAGAGAATTTCCTGAGGCAGACTAAAAAACGACAGAACAGCACAGCTCTCAGCTTAGAGCAGAATCAGCATGTTGATGACTCAACCAGGAGAGACAGACAGAGAGAGAAAGAAAGACAGAGAGAGAGAGACAGACAGAGAGAGAAAGAAAGACAGAGAGAGAGGGACAGACAGAGAGAGGGGAGTTTTACTTTCTCTCTCTCTCTCTCTCTCTCTCAGACAGAGGTCACTTCACTTCACTCTTCTTGCTCTGACTCTTCGCTGTGCTGCGTCAGAGTCCTCAGCTGTGAGCTGCTGTGCTGCTCTGAGTGATCAGTAATAATCCGGAGTGTAAATGATTGATGATTGGTGTAAATGATTCCTGCTGTGTGGAGCTGATCAGTGAGAGTCTGTGAGCTGGAGATCAGCAGAGTTTAAGGGCTGTGAAGGTAACCAGTAATGGAAGCTCATACCCCACCAGTTAGCGTGGTGTTAGCATGGTGTTAGCGTGGTGTTAGCATGGTGTTAGCGTGGTGTTAGCACGGTGTTAGCCTGGTGTTACAGTGGTGTTACCGTAGTGTTAGCATGGTGTTAGCGTGGTGTTACCATGGTGTTGGCGCAGAGTTAGCGTGGTGTTAGCGTTGTGTTAGTGTGGTGTTAGTGTGTTAGCGTGGTGTTAGCATGGTGTTAGCGTTGTGTTAGCGTGGGGTTAGCGTGGTGTTAGTGTTGTG